CCAATGCATTCAATTAGGCACAGGTGGACTCTAATCAAGCTGTAGAAGCATTAACAGCCACTGATAGGAGACCGATTCAGAGCTCAATTACAATGTCATAACACAAGGTCAAGCAGTCACCCCCCCCCAAAAACTGACAGTGTGATAAATGTAATTATTTTGCTGACTTCAATGATCCTCATCAGTGTGTTGTAAAGCCATAGTCTCTCTATTACTGTGCTGGCTGGGTAATAATAGCTATCCAGGAGAGGATGATACAAAATCAAGTTTTGCATTCTAGAGTGAAGGTCGATAGTTTAATTGGAAGCACAAATTGCATTCACATGTATCCCCATAGTGGATTGAGCCATGGGTAAAGTGAATGTGTACACTGCAAGTGTGTCTGCTTTTACAGTTCTGTTCAGTTGCTAACACAATAAAATGACACATTTGGCAAAAATTCAGCTCAACTCTCCAAAACTGTAAACATGTTTTCTGCTTTGCACCCATGTTGCAACTGAACATAATACTTTTTGCAGAACACTACACACAGTTCTTTACATAATATACAGACATCTGCTATAAAGTCACTTGTTGACCATTTCAAAACTACCAATCAAAAGTGAACCAATAAAAAAATAAATTAAAAAAAATTGCACTACCTTGCCAGACACCCAGGTGCTTAATTGTCAATTCATTAATCAGATTGTTAGCACTATCTTAAAAAAAAAAAAGGCAAGTATTTGTTTACAACAGCAATGAAAGTCTACAGCATCTAGCAGATGGAGGTAGAGGTCAAACAGGGGGACAGGAGGATTGAGAGCTGGGGCTTCTTTTACAGGCAATGATCCTGTAGATATGTTGGCTGCTGAGACATGGATACGACACTTGAGGAGTTTCTTCTGTCACAGTCTAGCCATGGAGGACAAGGTGTTTTGTTTTTTTATTTATTTACTGTATTGATATATGTAGCACTAATTTACTGTCAAGGAAAAAAAAAAAACTAAATCTTTGTTTTTGTAGTGAAATTTGTATTTTGTGCAGATTTCTCCTTTCTTGAATGGTCTTTCACTGGTGAATCCTGTTAAGAGTAAAAGGCCACCAAAGACAACTGTGCTTTGAATTTAGCACAGCAACGTGCATTTTCCTGGAAATTAGCCAGTTAAGGAGAAAACTGTGTTAGCAATCAAAAACTGTAAAAGCAGGGTGGAAGGAGTTTTAAAAATGCATAAGACTGGGTAATAGCTCTCCTCTTCAGTTCCAGTATATTTTTAGAGCCACACATGTATCTGAGCCACAATTATTATCAGTGAAGTGTTGTTTTTACTCCTTAAAGCCTGTTTCACACAAACCAGGATGCTCTCGCTGCCTGCTACTGAATCAGCTAAGTTAATGCTGCCAATTTTTGTTAAGAGAGAGTAAATATTGACTTGATCGTTACAGCGCCCGTCTGTTGGTGTGAGAGTAAGTAGCTCCCTTTCTTTCTCTCTCCATCTCTCTCTGTGCTGCTGGCTCAAAGTGTGCAGAAAACACCCATCATTACATTCACCCTCCAGCCACACTTACCCTTGTAGTGAAGGCACACGCTCATCAATGTTCCCCTGCTTTCTTTAAGCAGCAGAAAGTACACTCACAGATTAGCCTACAACATCTTGACCAGCAAGGGTTGAGTCAAGGCTTCTGACCAGTTATGCTGTGTTTAAAGCTGAGACTGATGGAAGTGGAGTTGAGTGGTTCACCAGCTGAGAGAGACGCTGGGATTTCCTGAGCCTTTTAGCAGTGTCACAGGCCAGTAGAAGCGCACAGCCATAGCAATAAACTGTTTCATGTAGTATCTTAGAGATCTGTCTATGCAAGTGTTCGGCCTCAATGACCGTGTTAGTCATAGCCAAGCCTAGAAAGACCAAGATCTTTGACTTGATAAAATGAAGCTAAACCCCAACAAAATCTACACAGATGTAGACATTCTTTTTATCACAACTAATCACAAACAGGCACAAATATTCAATTATAAATGTTACAAGCTGCTTCAGCACATTTAGCTAACCATGGCAGTGCCTTAGGTTCATCTAGGAGGGGCTATTTTCATCCTACTCCTGGATTACTTATAAAGATCTGCTTCCTGTGATAGTGACACCTCCTCTGCCTGGAAGTTGCCTCCGGTGGCTGTCACATCAATATTTTCTATGAATGTCAAGATCTGAAGATGAGGGTAGGACAGTGTTTCAGGGCGCTGGATCCACACAAACATTCACAGTGGGCATTGATTAAGTACTGTATGCTGTCTCTGCGGCTCCTGCTGGAACTGTACACGCAGTGTAGATGTAACACTGCTGCAGCTACAATTAGCGTTTGCATTTTCACCCTTTAAAAATATCTGATGTAGGCATGTGCTTGAAAAGCAATGCTGAATCTAACAGTGGATGAACGCCATGTCTCTGATGATTACTTTTATATTTAAGGTTTGTGTCATTCATACAAAAGCGCCACTGACCTGCATGACTATTTTCATTGCACACTGCTAGGTGGCAATTTTTATAGGGATGCTGTATTGCTGAACACAATGTGGCAGGCATCCTTAGTGCTGAGAGTAATTTCCAACAACTGTAGGCCAAACAGTATTGGTAACCTGAGCTTTGTGGTACTACTCTACCAAACACAATACAACAAAATAAACTGAACCATGACCACAAAAAACAGCTACATGAACCATTTTAACTCTCACCGACTACCCAGAACCACCAATTTAAGAAACTCCCGCACACTGTCACGCTTAAGGTGTATTAATACACAAACAACATTGTTTATTTGACCTTCATCAGGCAACGCCCATTGACTACAAAGAGGGAAACTGAGTTGTCTTTGGTTATGTCTATGTTAACATCCAACCACATTAGGACAAAATACCACCCCTGTGGTATTATGGAATTGTGAATTTCAGAGACCTGCACTTACATGCAAATATAAACAAGATTACAGCGAGATAAGAAGACATACATATATTTAAAAGGAATACAACCTATAAGACAGCCTACAACACAACTGTACAAGCACAACTACCGGTTGCTTGTTCCATAAATTAGCCCCCTGCCACCTAGTGAAGGTTAGAAGAAGTATTTTTTCAAACCACTTCTGTGTGTGAAGCTGGGCCAAAAGCATTTTTTCACCATACAGAATCAATGGAAAAAGGAATGGTTGTAAAACCCTGAATACATTTTTCAGAGCGACACAAAACCCACCAAATAACTCTTTTTAATATCAGAGTATTGATCCATTGGGTCCAATATCATTTGGAAAGTCTAACTGAGCCGCACATGGGGGTGTGACAATACGCTTAGAGACTTGGCTCACAAGACGAGACAATATCGTAACACACCAAGAAATCTTCAATGACTAAATATGACTGGAAAAAATCTTTAATTCAACTGAAAAGTCTCAAAAAGCAAAACAGTGCAGGTGCATTTTTAACTAATTATCTTGTAATGAATGTCACTTCAGTTCTACTTCGAATATGAATTGTCATATGCGGTAAAAGACAACAATATGCAAGCACTGTAAAAGGTTTTGCCACAAACTCAACAGTGTCTGCACCAGCAGAGGTAGCAGCCATGCAACCTGCTTCCATGCATCAACACGTCCTGTCTGGCCATGAAATGCAAATGCTGTGTGGATCTTGTATGAAAAATACAGTGAAAAATGTGGTGTCTTGCTTTCATCAATCAAGAAAGGCAATAAAATGTCAATCGTTTCCAGCTCGCAGTCCAACGTGTTAGCAATGCTAAACACTTGAGAGGAAAAAAGCACCTGTATTACCTAATGTGGGCTCAAAGACAGAATAATAAGGCTAAACAAGAGGCAGGTGTGTGTGCTAAATGTTAGAAGGCAGGGGGAAAAAAAAAAACCAACAGCCCCAAGTCATAAAAAGTTGAGCTGGTGTGTAAAAATCTCAATTTTAATTGAAAGTAGTAGTTTGTAAATCTTCTGTGTCCTGTATTACATTGAAAACAATACAGCAGCACATTATTTGACGTGATACCCCATCAATTTTATTCTCTGGTAAAAATAAACACTCATTTACTCCCTAGTAATGAGGCAAAACAATGAAATAATGATTCTTTTAGAAACAGCTGATGTCAACAGGCACTGCAATCGGGATTTGGTTCAAAAGTAGCGTCCAAGAAAGGCCGAGCCCTTTAGGAGCAAAGATGGGTTGATTATCTCGTTACTCAACATGTGTGAGAAAATCATTAAAAGTTTAAAAACAATGTTCCTCAACGAAAGATAGGAAGGTATTTGGACATGTCACCCTCCTACAGTGCATAACATAGTTAAAAGATTCAAGAAATCTGGAGGAATTTCAGTGCGTAAAGGGCACAAGCCTGAGCTGGATGACCGTGCTCTCCGACCCCTCAGATGGCACTGCACCAAGAATCGTCACTCTTCCATAAGCGATAATAACCACATGGGCTGAGGATTACTTTAGCACACCTGTGTCAGGCACTACAATACATCAAATAATGTGCTGCTATAATGTTTTCAAAGTAATACAGGACACAGATGATTTACAAATCGTTATTTTCAGTTAAAACTTTGATTTTACATACCATCCCAACTTTCTGATTTGGGGTTGTAGTTATTCTTCACCTTGTCGTTGGTTGTTTTCTGGTCCCCCCATTTGTTTTCTTGTGCATCCTGCACCACATTAAATTACACACCGAGATACCCAGATTACATAACTTGTCAGGTAAACCTACATTATGCATACACTGCAATCAGCTGTTTTAATGCAAACTAGGTTATTAATAAGCAATCACGAACTGGATGCCCTGGAAAGAAAACCTGATACTGAAGAGGCTGTCTGTGTTGTACTAAATTCTGGGAAGAGAGCCTTTTCACCTATTGCTACCAGATGGCTATGAGCCAACAGTGCTGTTAGAATTTAACTGGGACTGAATAAAAATAACACGTGAAAAAGAAATGTGTATCAGTGAACTCTGGTGGCGAACAAGCCCAAAACTCACCAGTTCAGCATCAATAACATTCAGGGGGAGAAGTTCATGTCTTGGCCTGCAGAGACAAGAAAAAAAAAAAAAAAGGACACATAGTAAGAAGAGGGGAAGATTTTATAACTCACAAGAGGCCTGAATCTGGACCTTTTTGGCTGAGATCTAAAGCCCTGCTATACAGTAGGAAGGGCAGGAGTGGAGACAAAACCACAGAGGGAGACAAGCACATCCCACTACTGCCTTGCCAAGGAAAACTAAGTAATTCACAATATCGGCTAACAGCTTCACAACACCCTTGGCTTGTCAGACTTTAACAATACTACCACAATGCTTGTCAGTTGGCATGCCAGTCTGCTTGCTTGTTGGCCTATCAATCCATCTGGGTGGGGGGTGGGGTCTACATTTCCACATTGAGAAGAAACGGTACAGTGATCAAAACCCATCTAAACAAAAGAACAGTATTGGAGGAAACTAATCATGACCAGACCAGTCTAATTAAAAACAGCAGCACAAAAACAATAAAGAGAGGAAACAAACGAGAAACAAGCAGTTTGGAAGTTCAGTGCAGTAAACTGGCATGCTGACAACTGATTCCAGCTGAAGTCCCGCTGGAACAAACCTGCGACCTTCAAGCAATTCAATATGATGTTGGCAAGTATACACCACTATGAAAACATAAACAAACCAAAAAAAAAAAGATTCTCATTTTATTGCCATTTGAACAAAGCCCTAGAGCTTTATTCAAACTCACCATTGAAATACAGGCTTCCTGCAAGATAACACTGTGAACATGTGCCTTAGATGCATTTCATGGCCCGGTCAGCCTAATATCTATGACTGCAGCACAGCCACGTTTGTAAACCTTGAGAATGCACAAGTAAAACTGGGCTTATGTACTTTGAGATTTATTCTTTACTTTACTCATTATTCATTATGATGTCCTTTCATCCAAAGGGTCAAAATCTAGTTTAGTTTTTGGCCTCTCTGTAACTCAAATCAAAAAGAATGAAAATACTTAATGTGCTTACAATTGATCCAATCCTAAACAAAAAAACAATCACATAACCACTATCCGCAATGTACACAGTAAAACAGATGCTATACGGTTCACTCAGTTCAGATGATGAAAGGCAAGTTTAGAAAAATGTAAATGCTTATCAACGTCAGCAAGGTAAGCTCTCAAACGTCAGCACTCATAAAACGTACAATTCTTCTAAGAACATTACAGAATATCAGCAAAATAATATTAAATTTGAAATGTAAAATGGCTAGGACTAAAATTCTGCTAGTTTGGTTCCTCAAAACATTCAAACTAATAACTGTAGGTGATAACCATAATCACAGTGCAGTATTTGCAAAAATAAATAATAGGGATTATTATCAACAGCCCTAATCATGCAGCTATCCCATTACCAAATAAACATACAGCGGGATAGCGCAGTCCTGTGCCTCTTGTACAGTAAATAACCAGAAGGTTCTAAAAGCCGTGATCACTAAGTGCAAAGGAGCTACACTCACAATGTGTCTGCTTGAATGATAATAAAGACGCCTGCATACCCTCGGTTAACCTTTAAGCTTCCTAATCCACCTCTACTGTTCAAAATGCTGCAGAGTCCAGGTTTAAGCCACAGCTCAGGGGATGTCGTTGTGTGAGACAGGGTATAATGTTTGCCTCCATAATCACCAGTGAAACATTCACATGGCAATGTCAATAAAGCAGAGCAGATTCGTTGTTCTTTACATAATGGTGGCAGTCTTTCATAGGCAGCAGAGGACACACTTTGGAAAGACAAGTGGGACGCAAGCTTCTGTACATTTTATAGTAACGAACCCTGACGCACTCTGTGGTCCATGTCCGAAATGCCGGCTGAGATTTCATATTGTGGTCAAACAACATTTCTGGCACACTATAATACACATGAAGCATTTTATAAGAACAAAGTGTTACTAGCTGTTGAACACAGAAAGTGTGTGTGTGTGTGTGTGTGTGAACAGGTGGAACAGCCAACGCCAACAAGTTTGCTGAGGAACCATCTACACCCGTCCAGCTACTTTAGGAGGCTGACAACCCAAGGGAAGGCTTGGAAACAAAACGAACACATTAGGGGCTATTTACACTGCAAATAAGCCTGCTGAGTTATCCACATGTTATTCCTGAACAAACAACAAGCTCTTCCTGGGTGTGACTTATAAAACAGGTTTTTAAAAACAGAAACCTGCAGTCTGACTCTATCCCAGACAGAAAACTGACATGAACCCAGAATTTATAGAAACGTGTCAACACTGACACCAAACATTCTTTTTCACACATTCATTTGATGCAAACAAAACAAACAAACCTACTATCAGACACAAAATAAACAGTTTCTGTAGGAAGCGTGTACTTTGACAGTTCATCAACACCTCGCTGTAGTGAATGTATGCATGGCAGCTGCTGCAGGCGTCGGATGCACCAGGTTAACGTTATACTAACATTCTGCAGAAAGCCATAATGTACTCGCACCTGTGTAAATATGACATAAAAAGCCAGTTTATATCGGTTTGTCCGCTAACTTTTGTGGCCACTGTGCAGCGCGCCTGTCATCTGGCTTTGCCCCCGTCCCGCTACAGCTAGCTCCGGTGGCTAGCCTCCCGGCCGCGGGAAGCATCAGCAACACCTGCGGTTCATTATGTCCTCAAGCGCCGCGACGGGCGCTCTGCTGTACCGCACTTACCTGGAAGAGAAGTCCCAGTCCGGAGCAAATACGAGAGCACCTTCGGAACCAAATCACCAAGAGGGCATTTTAATGCATCTGGCTAGCTAGCTAGCAAAGACTGCTGCCTCCAGCTGTCTGTGTGTGTGTGTGTGTGTGTGTGACAGACAGAGAGAGGATGTGTGACATCTGAATGATGGAGTGAGCCTCTGAAAGCTAGCGAGCTGGAAAGCTTCGGATTCCACTGCATCTGTCCAACAGCTAAACACGCTGAATTCAACACAGTCTAGCCTACATTCAACGGAGCAGTCAGCACAGTAACTGAGCAGCAGCTGGGAGAGACATTTCAAATTTGTTCCTTACGTGATTTCGGCGCTGGAGATGGGGACGGGTTTAATCCGACGGCGGAAAGAAATGATGCTTTGCAGAATCCGGGTCGGGATTTACTGTCTCTGTGACTGCCCGTCTTTGTCTCTGCCTGTGTGTCTCCCGTCTCCCTGCTGCCGGAGCGTCCCGGTGCTCTTGTACCACTCGCCCTCCAGTGGAGAATGAACGGCCTTGATGTGCTTTGATTAGGAACAACTCGGCAGCGCGTGCCCACTCCCCCCTCCCCCTCCAACTGCCAAACGTGCCTGCGCGTTTGTGTGTGTATAAGCGTGTGCACAAAAGAGTGAATGCGTGCGCCTTGGGTTGACAGAGTGAGTCATCCAGCAGAACTAGATTCAGCACCTCCCTGCTTCGGTTACAGCTGACTACTGTATCCGCCATGCGTTGATGGAGACACTGACTCCCCCTCCTCCCTTTCTAACGTCAAAGTCACACTGCACTGTCTTCTTACAGAAGCTACCGTGTGTCTGGCTGAGGTGCGTCCATTGCGCATCACTTCATGTATTGTAGTGGCGGAAGAAGTACACAGGTGTTAAGTAGCAAAGCCACAGTGTAAAAATACTGTTACAAGAAGTGTTGCATTCTAAACGTGGCTTAAGTGAAAGTAGCCTACACATGTATTAGCATCTCTATATATATACTGTATATATATATATGTATATAAACTACCAAAAGTAAAAGTAGGCATTCTGCAGAATGGCACAGTTCACATTAATGTATGTCACATTATTGGATTATAATTACTGATGCACATTTGAACAAAGCCCTAGAGCTTTATTCAAACTCACCATTGAAATACAGGCTTCCTGCAAGATAACACTGTGAACATGTGCCTTAGATGCATTTCATGGCCCGGTCAGCCTAATATCTATGACTGCAGCACAGCCACGTTTGTAAACCTTGAGAATGCACAAGTAAAACTGGGCTTATGTACTTTGAGATTTATTCTTTACTTTACTCATTATTCATTATGATGTCCTTTCATCCAAAGGGTCAAAATCTAGTTTAGTTTTTGGCCTCTCTGTAACTCAAATCAAAAAGAATGAAAATACTTAATGTGCTTACAATTGATCCAATCCTAAACAAAAAAACAATCACATAACCACTATCCGCAATGTACACAGTAAAACAGATGCTATACGGTTCACTCAGTTCAGATGATGAAAGGCAAGTTTAGAAAAATGTAAATGCTTATCAACGTCAGCAAGGTAAGCTCTCAAACGTCAGCACTCATAAAACGTACAATTCTTCTAAGAACATTACAGAATATCAGCAAAATAATATTAAATTTGAAATGTAAAATGGCTAGGACTAAAATTCTGCTAGTTTGGTTCCTCAAAACATTCAAACTAATAACTGTAGGTGATAACCATAATCACAGTGCAGTATTTGCAAAAATAAATAATAGGGATTATTATCAACAGCCCTAATCATGCAGCTATCCCATTACCAAATAAACATACAGCGGGATAGCGCAGTCCTGTGCCTCTTGTACAGTAAATAACCAGAAGGTTCTAAAAGCCGTGATCACTAAGTGCAAAGGAGCTACACTCACAATGTGTCTGCTTGAATGATAATAAAGACGCCTGCATACCCTCGGTTAACCTTTAAGCTTCCTAATCCACCTCTACTGTTCAAAATGCTGCAGAGTCCAGGTTTAAGCCACAGCTCAGGGGATGTCGTTGTGTGAGACAGGGTATAATGTTTGCCTCCATAATCACCAGTGAAACATTCACATGGCAATGTCAATAAAGCAGAGCAGATTCGTTGTTCTTTACATAATGGTGGCAGTCTTTCATAGGCAGCAGAGGACACACTTTGGAAAGACAAGTGGGACGCAAGCTTCTGTACATTTTATAGTAACGAACCCTGACGCACTCTGTGGTCCATGTCCGAAATGCCGGCTGAGATTTCATATTGTGGTCAAACAACATTTCTGGCACACTATAATACACATGAAGCATTTTATAAGAACAAAGTGTTACTAGCTGTTGAACACAGAAAGTGTGTGTGTGTGTGTGTGTGTGAACAGGTGGAACAGCCAACGCCAACAAGTTTGCTGAGGAACCATCTACACCCGTCCAGCTACTTTAGGAGGCTGACAACCCAAGGGAAGGCTTGGAAACAAAACGAACACATTAGGGGCTATTTACACTGCAAATAAGCCTGCTGAGTTATCCACATGTTATTCCTGAACAAACAACAAGCTCTTCCTGGGTGTGACTTATAAAACAGGTTTTTAAAAACAGAAACCTGCAGTCTGACTCTATCCCAGACAGAAAACTGACATGAACCCAGAATTTATAGAAACGTGTCAACACTGACACCAAACATTCTTTTTCACACATTCATTTGATGCAAACAAAACAAACAAACCTACTATCAGACACAAAATAAACAGTTTCTGTAGGAAGCGTGTACTTTGACAGTTCATCAACACCTCGCTGTAGTGAATGTATGCATGGCAGCTGCTGCAGGCGTCGGATGCACCAGGTTAACGTTATACTAACATTCTGCAGAAAGCCATAATGTACTCGCACCTGTGTAAATATGACATAAAAAGCCAGTTTATATCGGTTTGTCCGCTAACTTTTGTGGCCACTGTGCAGCGCGCCTGTCATCTGGCTTTGCCCCCGTCCCGCTACAGCTAGCTCCGGTGGCTAGCCTCCCGGCCGCGGGAAGCATCAGCAACACCTGCGGTTCATTATGTCCTCAAGCGCCGCGACGGGCGCTCTGCTGTACCGCACTTACCTGGAAGAGAAGTCCCAGTCCGGAGCAAATACGAGAGCACCTTCGGAACCAAATCACCAAGAGGGCATTTTAATGCATCTGGCTAGCTAGCTAGCAAAGACTGCTGCCTCCAGCTGTCTGTGTGTGTGTGTGTGTGTGTGTGTGTGTGTGTGTGACAGACAGAGAGAGGATGTGTGACATCTGAATGATGGAGTGAGCCTCTGAAAGCTAGCGAGCTGGAAAGCTTCGGATTCCACTGCATCTGTCCAACAGCTAAACACGCTGAATTCAACACAGTCTAGCCTACATTCAACGGAGCAGTCAGCACAGTAACTGAGCAGCAGCTGGGAGAGACATTTCAAATTTGTTCCTTACGTGATTTCGGCGCTGGAGATGGGGACGGGTTTAATCCGACGGCGGAAAGAAATGATGCTTTGCAGAATCCGGGTCGGGATTTACTGTCTCTGTGACTGCCCGTCTTTGTCTCTGCCTGTGTGTCTCCCGTCTCCCTGCTGCCGGAGCGTCCCGGTGCTCTTGTACCACTCGCCCTCCAGTGGAGAATGAACGGCCTTGATGTGCTTTGATTAGGAACAACTCGGCAGCGCGTGCCCACTCCCCCCTCCCCCTCCAACTGCCAAACGTGCCTGCGCGTTTGTGTGTGTATAAGCGTGTGCACAAAAGAGTGAATGCGTGCGCCTTGGGTTGACAGAGTGAGTCATCCAGCAGAACTAGATTCAGCACCTCCCTGCTTCGGTTACAGCTGACTACTGTATCCGCCATGCGTTGATGGAGACACTGACTCCCCCTCCTCCCTTTCTAACGTCAAAGTCACACTGCACTGTCTTCTTACAGAAGCTACCGTGTGTCTGGCTGAGGTGCGTCCATTGCGCATCACTTCATGTATTGTAGTGGCGGAAGAAGTACACAGGTGTTAAGTAGCAAAGCCACAGTGTAAAAATACTGTTACAAGAAGTGTTGCATTCTAAACGTGGCTTAAGTGAAAGTAGCCTACACATGTATTAGCATCTCTATATATATACTGTATATATATATATGTATATAAACTACCAAAAGTAAAAGTAGGCATTCTGCAGAATGGCACAGTTCACATTAATGTATGTCACATTATTGGATTATAATTACTGATGCATTATTGTGGCCATCAAGGCATCATAATTATTTTCATAGGCTAAGCTATGGCTCCCATGTGACATTAATTAATATTCATAAATCCATGTAAAATCAGTGGGGATTTCTCATGCATAATGAATTTGTTTCTTAATAAGTGTGCCACAAACATTATCTGTGTATGTGTGTGTCTGCTCTGTCTACCTTTTAAGCAGCGCTCTGTGGTCCTTCCCTCTTCTGTTGTCCTGGTGTGTCTCATAGGACACCTCCTCCTCATCCCCACAGCAGATGGACAGACACAGGGTGATAATATTCCTGGGAGTTTGGACGGGCGTCACTGTTTGTATAACCCAGAGAATCTTATTAAAGTCGCTCTCCTTCCGCCCTGAACTCAGGGTTAATTAGCTCATTTCCTAGTTGCTGGTATGAGCAGAGGCCTCTGAATGGTCATGATGGTTGTTACTGGGCGACCAGGCTTTTCTTATCTCCTGTTGCCTGTTGGGATTCTGCTCTGCTGAGGAGCTGAGACCAAGAAGGGACACAGTGTTTATGTAGTTGGAAAACACACACACGCACATATATAGAATACACCAGCATACACATACTGTATATAGTACATGCAGCTGAAAATGCATCAGCACATGGACACCAGCTTACACACAGAAAACTCCAGCACTCACAAAATGTGTAACAAGCTTTGTTTGAGAATGTGTAAATAATAAAAAAAATATTCCCTACATCAGATGGATGCAACACAAGTTGAAGTGGAATTTTAAGTCAAAATATAGTGATTTGCTTGAATTTTTAGGAACAGAAAAAAGTCTATTGGGCACAGGATGTATAATACAAACATGCGGATAAACATGCACGCATACTATACATAATCGTTTCTTGCACAGTGTCCAATATCAGAGCTAATGATTCAGAAGTGCTGTCCTCAGATTGCTAATGATTCTGTATGATTTCGGTGCAGCTCAGTCTTCATGTGGTGACTAAGGATTCAATTATAGACATGCTTAAAAAGATAATTGTACCTAGGAGGCTCTTCCCCACTTCTCCTTGCCCCTGAGTGTGACATACATACACACTCACCTACATACACTACTTGCGCTCACTCTACAGATGCTGCTAAACATGTTCTCTATGGCTGGACTGTGCTTTTATTCTATTTCTCCACCATTATTATGCGATCTTTGCCTGGTTACCAAGACTGTGGGGTAACAATGAAATCTCTAAATCAAGTAAAACAATAAGGTGTGACAGGACAAAGACAAATTACACATTTTAAGGCAAACAAAATACCAACAATCTGTAATTAAGGACTGGAGGAAAAATGATAAGACAATAGACCTATGAAATAAATGTCAGCTGCTGATGGAAAATCTAACAAAATAAAGGCTCTGAAATGATGAATGAATGACAGTGATGTGGAAATACTGTATATCACATACAGAGATGCATATAATGTAAATAAAAACACAATATTAGGTTGACCAATGACAAATTAAGAGACACGACTCCACTCCAGAAAAGTACAATAATAGCCACATTTATTTTAATTACAGGCAAATTATTCCCTTTACACTATATTTATTTATTTTTATCAACTTAATATTTTATCCTTTATGTCATACATACATTTACATTTCCAGAGTCCATACACTTAAGTTGATGAGAAGGAGGGGACTGTTAATCAAAGTGGTTCAAGACATAAAAGAAGGATGTCTCGCTTTTCTTATGAGACGCATGTCAAATACTGCTCTTCACAAGCGTTACTCAGTAGTGGTACTGTACTAAAAAAGTAAGTGCACACGGTCTATTCAACATCAGACAACTTCATATAATATATTATCATGGCAAGTTAACCAGTGATGCATTTCACACATTCAACATCAAACAAGGCCGACCTAGTCAAAGGCACAAGACTCTCACATCGATATCGTCTTTAAAGTAGTTTGTACTTACATGTTCAGGTAATCCTTCACTTTCAAACTCTTTTTGTATGGAAAATCAGCTGAAATACGATTTGATATCAAATGACACACCTGTGAGTGAAATGGCACTGGACATTTAGGAAGTAAAAACACTTCCTTATGTTCACTGAACACCGCTTAAATAGGAAATAGTCCAGTTATTCATGAGCTCATGTTAACGCTGGTGTTCTGCAGATAGCCTGTAAAGTGAGCGCTGGGCTCTGCATAAAAATAACTGAACTTTTTCCCCACTTCAAAGTACAGCTACCAATTGTGGGTGAATATTGAGACATATTTCCTGTGGTCCTGTGTACAGAGAAACTGCGCACACACTCCCCTGTAGATACACAATGAACCAGTTAAGAGGAAGGTCACTTCTGTAAAACTACAGCCAGTTTTTCTTCCTCTGTTGGAATGTTCTGGTTTGACTCTTTTAGTTCAATGGGACAAAGGTAAAGTATACAATCAGCAACCTATTAACTTGAGCCAGCTAATGTTGGATCTAAGGAAAAGGTGTATTGCTACTTATTTTAGTCTGGTTCAGCTTGCTCCACAGTGACATATCATGATATCATGCCGCACAGGGTCCACTGTTTTGCACATTTAGTTTAACTGTTTCAGAGAAAGTAGATTTACACTTAATAAACATCTCTGCTACAGAGCTACTGTAACATTTACAGTTGTTCAAATACATGCAGATACTGTACAGCACACTCCCCCTTCAACCTCATCTCTGGGCAGAATCACCCACAACTTGTTAAAAACATCCTAAACAAAAAAGAATCACAGTGCACTGCATAATATTACCATGTGAAATATTACACAAACCAAACAATGGTTAAAAAAATGATGGATTTTAAAACAAAATAGCAGCAACACATAGGCTTAGTTCTGCGGGAACAAATCGAGAACTAGCAAAACCACCAGTGCCTCTGGGTAAGACTAAAACAGTTACATAGTTACGTAAAGAGCCTTCAGTGCAAATACGTAAAGGTGAGTCAAAGTCTTATAAAGATGGAAGCTTTAAAGGATGAATATGCGGTGTTGTCTTTACAGTACAAATGTATAAGTTGACTCCACTTAAATGACAATGGCCACATAAGTGAATTCAGAACCTTGGCAGCAAACCCCTCACTGGCCACCACTACTGTCAATGCCATGATAATAAGAAATAAAAAGAAACTACTCTCTCTGTGCAATAGTTCAAGTAAGTTATTTCCTGCAAAGAATTGGTGCTTTGTAACACATCCTGTGGCTGTACCAAAACAAACGACAACATACAGGTAACATACGTACAAATACACAAAAAGTTACTATTTACATGAAACGTTTTTCTAGACAAGACTGCACTCTACGCACAGAGGACCTCTACTCACCAATTCAGGCTCAGATCTGATCTAATCCTCCCATTGGTTAAAATTAGGGCCAAAGCTGGGGCAGTCTCATCCTAGATCTGTGGTCACAAACACATCCACCAATCAGTGTCCCAGTGTGAAACCTCTAAAGGGGAGTGTCGTAGACTTGCTCCGATGAGCCCTCCTCTATGTCATCCTCCGACTGTGACGCCTTGTAGTTTAGCTTCTCTGTTGTCGGGGAGGCGATGAGGTTTCCGTGGACGCTGTCATCGCTAAGCTTGGCCTTGCTGCTGTCTTGAACAAACTCTTGGATCTCTACGGGCAGCCGGCGAAATTTGTCTTGGTATTCCTGGTCCAGGTCGCTCTGTAGCTGCGAAGGAAGGAAATACAAATCAGCCGAGGGAACAGAAGAAGACAGAACATTTAACCTCTTACATGGAGTATGTTACACTTTATGTATTTGATGATGTTCACAGAGTCTTGCGGAGTTTGTCAAGGCAGAAAATGGCTCAGATTGCATCAGTGTGGTAGTCACACTACTGTGGCAAATGTGTGAATCCTATGGAATTTATAGAAACTAAATTTATAATTCTCTCCACCTTTCACAAGTTACATCCTATGTTCCCTTGAGCAAGGGCCCTGGGTGGGATGCTCAAAGAGCAAACAATAGCAGATCATGGCTGTGCTGTAAAGCACCAAGGTCAAAATATGCAAGACTGTACAGTAAATGAAGCATGATTACTTGACTTTCCCTGTGTACACTCATAAAGGTTATAAAAGTGGCCAACAGATTTGAAATCCTGACAGTTTATTTCACTTATTTGCATTAACCTCTCTGCATGCAAGAGTAAATAAGGTAAACGATCCTAAAATGCCTACTTGACAACCGCCAGCCGTGGAAAACACTCAGCAACAATCACGTCATGGACTCAATGGGTCCAGAAACATCAGCAACAATTAGCCTGTTTTTACTGCAAAAAACTAATAAAACAACATGATCCCTTTATGTAATTGTTTGTCTTTCTTGACAATACAGTGTGTAGCAGCCACTCAAATCAGTTTTCTTGAACATACCAATAAAACACAACTTTTCAAAATAGTTCCTGTTTGCTACTTCTGTGCCTTGTAGTCAGTCATAACGTAACTAGACAGAGGTATATAGAGAAACACTGTAATAAGACAGAGATGGATGAGCAGAATTTTATGTCATAGAATGAAAACCAATAGCTGTACCGGTGTCAGACAACCTGCCAAGGCTTAAAGGTGCCCTGTTATGTTTTCTTGCAAACTGGCAAAAGTTATATTGATGCCAGTGTTTCTGACAAAAATTAATTTGTGTGTATCCTAACAGCTTGAATCAATGGGAAGAATATGGATTGTGTTTGCATGCGCTGTCTTGGTTTCCTCAGGGAACATTCTGACTCTTAAGCAGCTTGTTTACCAGCTAGTTGCTAACTTTGTGTGCAGTTTGGTGCTGGAAAGGTGGAGCAGGGTAGGGTTTACCTGAACTTTTATGCTTAAAAAAAAAGAAAAAGAGGGCTGCAGAGTTGCACAATAATTCTTAAGTTTGACTTAAGTTTGTTACTCTGAGCACAGTACCTACAACAAGTTTTTTTCTTTTCCATGAATGTAATTTAAAGAGACAGAGCAATAGATAAGTGATGGGTTTGAACTAAATAGGTACCACTGAGGTAGGCTAGGATGCCTTCTGTATCTCTGTAATATACACTACCTCTCCTCACTAAGAAATTAGAAGCTGTTTTCTCCCAGGCATAGACTCCCCAATGATTACAGATGACAAGATTGTATTCATTTCATTGTGAGCCAATAATTGCTGTAATGCCGATTTCTCTGTTTAACTACCCGACTGGCTCCCATGGGAGAGCAGTAATTAAAAGAAAAGCCACTAAGACGAATGGTGTCAGGGTTTCACATCTCCATAAAGTCACGTCAGCATTATGAAAGATCAAAAATACCTGCAGGCTCTGAGAGGATTTATCTGGGATCCATGTTTTGTCTGAAATGCCTCTGATAATATAAAGCCCCACTTCAGACTCACACCCAACTTCTAACTCAAAAGTGAATGCAAATAGTCTTAATGGAAAATACACGAGGGTCTGATGCAGAGAATAACCCAAGGTTGGCAATACTGATGCTACAGTATAAATGTGCAAAAGGTTTAGAGGCCTATATGCATTCTTTAAGGACTTCAGACAGAAAAAGCTACAAAACACAAAGCTGAATTCTCCTGGATGAATTCACCTAGTCCTAGTCTCTAGCTAATACAGTAGTCATGAAATTCAAATCTGGCAGAGAGGAGCACTGTTTCATTCAAGAAATATTCACAAGGACCTTCAATAATGAGTGAGAAGACAGGAGAGGAGAAAGGATGAAGGTTAACGACTACCATCTTGCTCTGACTTTCCAATTTTTTGCCCCCTCTGCTTCAGTTTATGAAATGGCACATCCATTTTATTTGAGGGCGCTGCATAACAAAATGATTGTTACAAAGTACTTTATCTTGTCAGTGCATTGCTATCCTGTAAATTATACTGATAGTCGGTAAAATATATACAGTATATATGTGAGCGTGGTATGGGTATTGAACTTCAGTATCCTGAAATGTATCCATAGTACATGTATATCAAAAGTTGGCTTCAAACACTTCTCATTTACTTTGCTGATTATTTGATCACAAATTCCCTACTCTACACCAGAGTAGATTAAGAAGGACAGTGATGACATCCCCATTTATTTTACAGTAATGGTGGATCATGGGAATGTCGAATAGTTCCAAACATTAGCAGCAGCACCACAGAGGTACAATGACTAAGTTAGCAACATGTCAAAACATTTATACACGTCTTACAACATTTCTGACAGGCTCCCTCAAATATTGGGTCACTTAATAATTAGGTACAGTACCAAGCTAATTAAGCTAAAACAGTTGAGCTAGCTACAACAACTGAACACTGAAATAATTTGCAAGGCTGGTCAAGTTATTAAAAACAGTAACTGCTGATAAATCCTGCTGTTCCTCACAGAAAACAATGAATCTGAATCAAGTTTTTGGAACTACTTGAAGCTACGTGACCACGTTACCTGCTGCCATTTTTGACCCCTCAGTCTCACCTTCCATCTTCAGAGTTCTAGTCTACACCAAGAAACTTCTCTAAGCTTACACAATTTTGTTGCTTCTAACTTTCTGACAAAGATCAGTATTTAACAGATAAATCTATTTCGTTAAATCAGTACACTCTTAAAAACATGTTCACAATAAACTCATTTTAACAGCTCTTGTTTTTCTGTGAGTCAACAGCTCAATGGGTAAAGGTTACGAGCATGTTGTGTGAAGGGATGCTTATTGTTGTGCCCTGTCAAAGCCTGTGGAAATGATGTTGGAAAACTAACTATTCAGCACTTCAATACATCAGTTTTACAGTCTGTTATTAATATTAGCAAAGTATTTTCATCTTGTGCAATTGATATGTCCCCTGAAATTCATGGATAGTTAAAATTCCATATAAATCCACAGATATCCATCTTTCCAGTTTCTCACATGTATATAGCACTGATACTTGTCTGATGGTTACAATTTCTATATAAAACTTTAACTACATTCCTAAAATGACACTATAGTAAATGACATTTGAAAGTGGGTCAACTGAATAGTGAAAATGCTAAGCTAGAGACAATGAAATCCATTGTGTAGTGAAGTGCAGACCCAATCAGCTGGATTACACTGAACAGCTACACTTTTCAATTCTGTCTGTGAGAAATGAGGAGCTCTTGACTTGCATCTTCCTGATTTTTTGAGTGGTACAATCTGAGCCTGATAAAGCTCCACCAAGCACAGCATCTCAAGGTCACCTTCTCTGAAATATGCCTCCTTATTGCTCTCTTTCTCTCCCTCTCTTTTACTTCTTTCTTTCTTTCCCTCTCTCTGTGGTTCTGACAAAGCGGCCATCCAGCACATCACAACCAGATGGCTAAAGATGCACCACTCGTCTGTCTCTGTCTCTCTCTCTCTCCGCTCCGCACTGTGCATGACCTACTTAGGGGTGGGACAATCTCCACAATGTGTGTGTATGTAAGCCTGCCTTTTGCACTGCCTGCTGAGGCACAAACACCCTCTGATTAAAGCTGTCATCTTTCTCCCATCTTACACCCTGGCACATGTGAGGGAGGTGGGAGCAGGGGGCGGAGGAGTCAGAGGGGCACCAGGCATTTCTGCAATCAACAGCTCAGAAGCAAACAGCGACGGCCGTCTGTTAGAGTTTGGGTGCTGAGTGAAAAAGACAGCACTGTGCTTTCACCAAGAGGCAGCGTGAGTTTTAAAATATCTCAAGGAATGATAGAAAGCCTGACACACAGCTAGAGCTGCAACCTTTTCCCCAATCTTTTGCTTTATAATCACCACTTCCACTTGACATTTTATCGGTTTGGCATTAAAGAAATCTCTTCACAGGAAACAGGAAAGGCATCAGTAAAATTACTGAAGCTGTATTTTGGTTGAAACTGATTGAACTAAATTCTGAACATCAAAAGCATCACATTTTGAACTGTATTGGGGCCAGCTGTGATGCTTTAAGTTCCAGGTCTGGTTGAAAGCCACAGTCTTGTTGAAACTGAATGACAGCCGTGACAAAAAACAAGGCCAAAATATTGTGCATTTACCTGTTTATTATGTGTGTACTTTTGCTTGAGTATGTGTGTTGCATCCATACAGTATATACAGTAAATGTGTATGTGTGTGTGTGTTCCTGTACTGAGAATTAGGTTTAGTGCTAGGCATTTAGTTCTGATGGTTAAGGTTAGGGTAAGGAGCTAGGGAGTGCATTATGTCAATGAGTGACCTCACAAAGATAGAAGTACAAGTGTGTGTTGGTGAGTGGTCTAGTTTGTGTTTGGACAGCAGGACTTATTCAGCCAGCTTTGAAATTTGTCTCTCATCTCTGAAGACCTGTCTTGTGCAAACAAACCACATGCCAACACATGCACACAGGTACAAACGCACACACACACACACACATTTCTGCCTTTCTTAAAATACAACACTCACTGTGACCTTCTTCACCAGCTGTCCTCATTTTGAGAAGCTATCGAGGGAAGCCTCCAAAGAGCCAAATTAATTCTTTGCTTTGAGTAGTGACATAACGCCTGCCGCAGCACCACCACAGAAGCCTTCAACCGGCAACACACTTCACAGCAGCTACACTATGCAGTTATTTTACCTGCGCCTCATCTTGCTGTGGCGTTAAGATGGTTTAAGGGAATTATGTGCTTTCCTGTCTTACCTTTGAATATATGTTTTAGCTAGTTGCTGCTCCTATTCAAGCCATTCCAATGAAGCCTAAAGTTAGATCAAAA